AAATAATCTTTATTTCACTCTTGTTACAATATAGTTTAGAGTCCCTAACTCCCGAGTTAGGTATGAAAAAAACCTGTGTTTCAAGAGTTAGTGCCCTCTTCCATATGTTGTTGTTTTACATTTTTAGTGAAACAATATGAAACAGAGAATTAACAAATACAAAAACAAAAATTACAATGGAGCCCATAATTTTAGAGAAACAATAATTTATGGGTTCAGTGAAATTGTGAAAAAATTATGTTCAGCAATGGACAGTTAACGGTTGAAATGATGATGATAATATATTGTTTAAAAATTTACATATTCGATAGGAAAGTTCTCAGGTAGACAGAATGTTTTGTGGTATGTCTATCTTTATAAATTGTAAACGTATTTTGATGATTCTTTTGCAATTTCGTATATATCTAATCCTACGAACATAATGTTTAATTATATGAAGTAATTATGCGTTCATACTTGGTTTGGCCGTTCGTAAAAATGGGTTTAAAAATGACCAGCATTTGTGAAGATTAGAAATTTATTGCAATAATGGCTATAAAAAAAGGTATATAATACCAAATTGCGGATTTTAAAATTTGTCTAATTAAACAACTAGTACGATTGAGACTACAATATTACACTGTTACTTACAATTATTTATACAAGAAACATGTAAAAAACTGACCGCAGGTCCTAAATATATGAAATAAAATGACATTACAAAGATATCCTTTGTGTTAATCAGTTTGATCTGTATGACAAATTTAATTCAAATCCAATTAGCCTGATTACTGATTAATGCGATAGTATAGTAAGTAATAGAGTTATATATTAATAGAATCATAGGATTACTCAGATAATAGATATTGATCAGCTATAACGCCATTACTGACAAGATCTGCCAATAATATCACTAACAATAGATTACAGACAACCGACGATTCCAATACATTTATTTTCTACATTATTACATGTCATCATCATCACATCAGCCTTAACTGTCCATTGCTGAACATAAGCCTTCCTCCTATTGAGGGGTGTTGCTAGTAGTTGCCACAATTGGCAGGCGGATTGGCAACCACAGTTAGGCTTTGGAGATGTTTTAAGAGGAACTCTGCTGCCCATTCCTCGCCCTCTCTTAATCGCCTCTTACGACACACACGGGAAAGGAAGGGGTAACCTATTCTATGCCGCGACCACACGGGAAATTATTACATGTATTACTTATTTATTATGAAAAGTTTTAACACAGACAGTTTAGTGTAAATCCTATGACAAAGATATGAATAAAAATCTCAAAAAATAATGTTTTGAATAGTTTGTGCAGTAAGAAACTTATTAAAAAAAATCAGTGTATGGATTAATTTTATTTAATATTTTCCTATAAATATGTATCTACATATTTATAAGTAGTAAAATTAACTGTGCTCATGACGTCGTTGACGTCTCAAACCTTAGTATATCCCTATGGTAGTGTACCATTTTACTATAATAAAAAAGTATTTAATATTGATCGAGATTCTCAGTTATCACCATATCAAATTTCATCAATATCCGTTGAGTAGTTTATGCGCAATGCATATACAAACACAGTATAGTTACAGTTTCATTATATAGATAGATAGAAATATAGAAATATATCTATAGAAATGTATATAACATTAATAATAATCATACGTCAGTTTTGCGTTCGATTGATATTTGATGGTTATAATTCAATGTTCGAATACTCGTAATACAACATTCAATGAGTGATCAGTGAATTTATAACAGGTCTAATTTGAATGTGATGTTTCAACATGCTTTCGAACAACAATTAAGCGTATGTGGTTTTGTTATATTTAGTATTATTTAATTATAAGCAACAATAACTTTATCGTCAGAATATAAATAAATTGATATATATAATACGAAAATGAATTAACTTTTTACCTCTTGGCGCTTTAATAGCTCAAACAAACATCGCGAAATTCGATATACATGTAGGCATATAGTCTACGTTTAGTCTAGAATGAGCCGCCCCTTCCTTTCCCGTGGGTGTGGTAAGAGGCGACTAAGGAAACTTAATAGCCGAGGGATGGGCAGCAGCGTTCCTCTTTAAACATCACCAAAGCCTAATTGTAGTTTTCAATCCATCTGCCAAGCGTGGAAATTATTGGCAAACCTCCCAATAAAGGAAGGCCTATGTTCAACAGTGGACAGTTACCGGCTGATATGATGATGATGATGATGATATAGTATAGGAAGTATATGAAAGATATAGGCTAGTATTTAACCTGGTCAAGCAATATAATAATAAATTTACGCAGACAAATAATAAATTATATTTAAAAAAATATTGTATGTATTTAAATGATAATGAAATTATTCTTAAAAACCTACTTATATCTTCGTAAATTCTCGACCTCTCACAACACTGGGAGTGAACCAGTAGGTACCTATAGATTCAATATTTCTTTTTTCAAATGGATAGCATTTACTTCCTTGTTATAGTGTCGAACAAATTTTGTAACCATTGAAGTCACTGGTTCTTTTTTTTTAGCAACATCTATTTGTTGTATTTTTGCTAAATTTATTATCTGCAATAAATATTATCAATATCGTTATTTCTAAAATTTTATTATATATATATATATATATATATATATATATATATATATATATATATATATATATATATATATATATATATATATATATATATATATATATATATATATATATATATATATATATATATATATATATATATATATACTGCTCATACCTATAGGCGACTACTACCAGTTTCCATCAGGTAAGCCGTCAGCTTATTTGCCATTCAGTTGCATAAATATACTGTCTTTAAATCAAATTAAAATTGTGAACCTAATGTATTCAAATCTGGTATAATAAAAAGTTCGTGTTTACTGTTGGCGATTATTTACTTATTTAAAAATAAATACTCCCCGAATATTTTTAATCATGCTTCAATAACCTTTACCGATAAAAAAATCAAAGAACATTATTGAAAAGGATTTATGAGAAAGCTTTTATCGCACGCTACGAAGTAAACCGTGTCAGCTAGAATTTATAAAGATATATATAATAAATCTCATTCATACCATTAAATATAATTTGTTGTTTAAGGGGATATTACACTGTCAAGTATATATGACCATATATATATACTTTTCAGAGTCATAAATACATGATAAAAATAAAATGAGCACTATGGTATATAAAATGTTGTAAAATTATTAAAATGCACAACAGTATTTTATATATTGATAAATTAATCTGTGAATATTAATTAGATAGTATAGTATAGATAATATGTTACGTAACCGAGTCAATATTGTATTAAATTTACATTGATAATCCCACATGAACGTTCTCTAATAACCGTAATTTAATATTTCTCCAATATAAATTGTGATAAATTTAATATGGGGCCAACGCGTGACTGAACCAAGTAGATTGTAAAAATCTGTTCAGAGTTAGCGAAGATATGGCGTGTTATACACGTAAATAAAATTACAGACAAATTGAGAATCTCCTCCCTTTTAAAATTGTTTAAAAAAAGCATTTGCTTTTAACTTGTAAAAACCTAGTCTGTCTCATTTCACCATAGGTCAACATGAAATTAGAATACAGAATAGTTTGTAGTTTACAACTAAATAATAAAACCATGGTTATGATTACGAAAAGAGACGTTGTTTTACTTAGTAACGATTTGGGCAAAGAAAATTAAAGTCATTATTACCTTTTAGTTTAATATTGGATGAGCCTACAACATTACATATACCGTAAAATATATTCAGGGCTTATTAAAAAAAAACAAGTAAATTGCATTGGAATATAAACCAAATTATATTATATTATTATCTAGGTTGAAAAACGGGGTCTTTTTGCAGATAAAAGTTTGCAGGTAAAGTCTTATATAAAATCCTTTTTACTCTAGAGTGTCAATCAAGCTTATTATAGGCTTAGATTATTTTATAATTGGTACAGTGTGATCATTTATCGATAACGTGTGCTTTAGTTATACTGAATAATTAAAATGGCAAATTGAATTGCCAATAAATTCTCTGGATCTATTTAAAACATTGAATACAAAATTTGGTACCATTCGTCCTATTCAGTTTTACTAGGGACAATATATTACATGTATATAAACGTCATGGACAATACGTAAATAATCCAGAAAACAAACAAATTCTTTTAACGCTAGATTCCGGTTAGAAAATTATTATAAACGAAAAAAGCAAAAAAAAATCGTAGCATAAATTCGAAAATTTGAAGACAAATGCTGAATTTTATTTCCATGTAAGTAAATACATGTAATATATTGAATGAAGCTAACGTATATGAAACTAGGTATACGACAAACAAGCCAAAAAATTATACGTATGTATGATATTTATTTATATACCTTATATATTATTATGTTTTTATACTATATTGACTTATTCTTTACATGAGAATCCTAGTCTTATGATCAAGATTAATAAAGAGTCAATACCATTACGTAAACAATCGTTGCATAATATTCGAAATAAACTAAACTTTTTTTATATCATTATTACTATAACTTATATCATATTAAACGAGAATAAATCTTGGTAACAAAATGTCGTTTATAATAAATATTAAAATAGACGATTTATTTTTTCGTCTGATTTATGGGATCTGATTTGAAATACAAAAGGAGACGTCCCGGCGCCTAGTGAGATTTTCTGATATTGGAACCGCGCGAATACGATACTTACAAATGTTCTCGAATTTTACGTTTATAAGATTTTTGTAAACTTGAAGTGTCCTACGAAATCTGGGTCGGTAGCCTGAAGCCTTGATGCGATTCATTTAAATTCCAAATGCGGCGCGCAAGTGCAAGTAAGGTATGCGTTCCCTGCACCTTGCTTACTCGATGTAGGTCAGTCTACAATACTGCATCGTGCACAGCACAGAGATGCATTAATTTCAACTGTTTGCATACAAAACAAGCCACTTGTAAAGAGTAGGTAGCGGGTGAAACTTACAACATCGATGAGCTGACTAAGTTTTAGTTTTATGCAGACGCGTAGCACGTCTGTGGTGTTGACGACCGGCCTGACGAGTTTGTTGTAATTGGAGAGCAGGTCGTCGTAGAGGCGCTTCGCGTCCGGGTTGCCGGCGGTGGCGGCGCGCAGCAGGCAGCAGGCCGCCAGCCACCAGACGAGCGCGGCCATCAGCTTACGGGCTCGGCCATCGTTACGTAAACGCTCGTGTAGATGGGCGTCCCGGGCCCAGGCGCGGCGCGGCGCTGACTGCCGCCCTGCGCGCCCGCGGACACCCCCGCGCGCGCCCTTGCCGCGCCGCCCTGCCAAAGAATTGCCGCCCGACGCGCGACTCTTTTGTATTTATCGTGGTGGCTTTAATTAATGATATTAACACGACCGATATGGAAATTAACTTATTGCTATGAGAAACTAATTTACAAAGGTGCATAGTAAATGTAAAGCAATCCATGTTTTTGATTATAAAACACACTTACTATATATTATAAATTAGTATATTAGTATTGTTTAATAATATGTTTACCATAAAATTCTATTGTATACTAACCTATACTTTTTATTTATGTTAAAACAAAACTTTTTTAATAACAAATTCATTTAAGAAATAAATAATAAAAACTACTTTGTCAGTGAGTAACGCGGTCTGTATTTTATTTCCAGAAAAATCATGCAAGCCTGGGGATTTTCATCTATCTTAGATAAATGCCATGTCATTGTTAGATATATTTTATGGAACCGTATCGTTTTAATGATAGATATGTGATGTAATATAATATATTTATTATAAATTGTATATTTCTGATATTTTTCTCTACTAGTGCTTATTAAAAGTCTAATGTATCAAATAGGTATCTATTTCAACAATTAATATGCACAAACAATTGCGTTTCCATGTAACCCGTTTTAGAATATTACGGAAACTATCTCGTGGAAGTGAATAATCGTTACCGAATTGTATGGTTGTGTGCACATGTATGGATGTGTTTGTAAGGGTATAGGGATTCAGATTCACCGCGAAAACGAGTACTGATCTGTGCCCGCATCCCGCTGCTCGGGCTGACACCATCCCTCTATAAATATATGAGTCGATAGCGCATCACATTCCTTGACCGCTTTTTGTTAACAGTAACAACACAAACCTTTCATTCGTATGTGACAAATATGATGAGGATACGCGGACTATTTAGCCGACCCCTATCCCATTACATAAAGGAGATTGACTAATATGGAAGGCGTTTAGAGAATACCTATCTACAAAATTAGATAAAGCCCCTTTGTTACTAGCACATTCTAAAGTCAACTATGGCCCACTATATATTAATGACTTATAATTAGGATATAAAATATCCTAAATGTAAGTACAATGAAATAATATTGTCTATCTGTGTAACAAATTTTATACAAATTCATTGAAGCTTGATTCAGTAATTAAGTGCATTAAGATTTCGAACTTAACTGTAAAATTAATTTGGGTTAGAATTTCATTGTTTTGAGTGAATTTGTTAAATTTACAAAAAATAATCACTTCAATATTAAAAAATATAGATAAATAGATATGAGAAATATATCCTACTGGTTACAAAAGAATGGTCAAAATCAGTTCATAATTTACAAACACATTCGTAACATACAAAAAAAAAACATCAAATTGAGTACCTCATTCTTTTTAAAATCATTTCAAAACAGTTTTTTGAAGTCGGAAAATATTAAATAATCAAATACTCTACTGTTACTAATATTATAAATATGAAAGTGAGTTTGTCTGTTACCTTTTTACGTTTTAAATGACTTTACAAATCGTTACAAAATGTATTGTAACATAGTATTTGGGATGGAGAAAGATATAAGCTACTTCTTACTCTGGTTACATGAATGAAGTCGCGGGGGAAAACTAGTGTGTTATATACATTTATTGCATTTTATATTCTAAATTTTCACTATATCAATAACCTAAGCACATTTACAAAGCTGTATATTATTTTTATATATTTGTCAATTTAAAAATTGTTTATTCTAACTTCAAATGAAATAGGTATGTTTATGCTGCCTAAATTTTAAGCGTAAAATTGCAATAAATTCGGATATAATTTGTTATTTAACATGAAAATGTCGAGACACGAGAGTAAAATAAGTGGATATAATACACATAATAAGATAGAGGGGCGATGGTAGATTACAACGTGCTGTGATAAAGGAGTGATTCTCAAGCATAAACGACAAGCTGTAAGTGCGCTTGTATCTCCCTTTTAAAACTCACAACAGCAAAATACAAGTGTAGAATTCGCTCGACCAAAAACACCGTATCACGATGACAAAGCCTTCTCGGCGGGTATTCTTTTTCAATTTCGTCGTGTTCCCTATATATTACCAAGTTGTACCTATATCGCAGTAGAGATTTAATCTAACAAAGAAATCGATCACGCTATAAATATGCTTTGTAACCTCGATCGAGCAAAACGGTTAAGTGTTTACGAACGATACATATCGGATAGGAGCTTTACTTTTATTATGACATTATTCACACAACAATCTTCAAATCGATACCAAACAGGACAGCAAACACCCTACTCCTTTACTCATAAAAGGGACGAGCATCTGAATAACAAGTTCGTTATCATAAAACACGTGCTCTGAAGAGTGTGAAGCACATACACATTGTTAAAAACATTGTTTTCCTCACACGCCCATTAAGAGTACAAGAGACCTCAGAGTTTTTATGTTTTACACCATTATTTAAATACGGCATTTCCCAACAGCTCCCAGGACGATAACCTCTGTTTTATACTGAGGGAATTTTGCATTTTTATTTAATCAACCACATAAAAACTTCTAAATGAAATTCTAAAAAATTAGGTATTTAAAAAAATTATTTGTGGTTTTTTAATCTAATGTAACAACGATAGTGTTAATGATTAACAAATATTAAATTGCTCAATTTTAATAAGTACAATAAAAAGATTTTGTAATAATGTATAAAAATACATCATCTAAAATTTTATAAATAGCATTTTAGAATCAAACTTATCTCTGACTGTATCTATAAAATTAGATAAATTAGGACCGAATGTGGAATGACATTTCACAATTGGCCTCAAGATATTTCTCTAAAATCAATACAGAAGTAATTCAGTATCTACAGACTGTTATAAATCACTGTTTGATTCCAAAAAACTAATCAATATTAGTAAAATTAATTATAAATAATATTATATAGAATAAAGAAAACATAACTACGTACCTATTTGAGTTGCAGAATATCCATTAAAGTCATATAACTTTGAGAGGTCTACTAAATACTGAATTTTTGTACAAAAAAATGGGTCGTAAGCGTTCGCGGCCCCTTTCGATTTACCATCTCGCAAACATAAATCCAAATTACACGAGAAACTACTTAGATTTATAGCATCAGGTTTTAAGTAAACGTGAAGGTGGAGTAACACTAAATGATTTACTGTTAGTCCTAGTTTCAACATATATAAAATAATGTATAATTCATTTATGTTAATGCTATTTACATGTCAGACATATTAGTGTATTTATAAAAAGAGCGGAAAGGGATTATTAGTAATGGAGATTTATCAGCTCCATTATTAGCAATATACCCTACAATTCGACCTTCACACAATTCCCCCTGAAAACTACCATAGTTAATTCTTGTGGAATTTATCACGAAGGACTAACTAGAACTAAACTTGCTTTCATCCTCATCTATCATCTCTCACTAGTATCCCGCCAGTGTGTACTAGCGCGCAAACAGGATTACTAGGATGATAAGTGAATGTCATTATCATCTTATGAAAAAACATAACTAAAAGTATAATAAGTGATTATTTAATACTGAAAAATCAAGAATGTCTCAATTCACAGTAACAACATATTCATAATAAGTTAATTATTCAGGTAGGTAAATAAAGTTTATTTAGTTAGTTTAATTATATAAAACAACACAAGTAATCAAAATATTTTGTTCCCATTTTAAATGAAATGTAAAATCGATTCAGTAGTTTTGTTTTTAAATTAAAGTAACTGGTCTTACCCTACTTATAGTCGGTATTTTTTTAAGAACACAATTTTTATATTATTAATGACTTTATTTTTATCAAATTACATTGTAAATTTTTTTACCAAAATTAGTTACTGACGACGTATACGCTTAATCCGCTGGGGAAAGGGATTGTTAATTATGACAAATGTGAATGGTGTTAGCCGATCATGCATTGGCTAAATGACCATGTTATTTTAAATATAACACCTTTAAATAAACACAAATATTGCTAACTAAGATTTAAAAGAGTAACTTAAATTTCTTGCGTGTTCTTCTCAGCAGATAATAACATGTAGAACCCAGCAGTAGAATCATAAATGATGATGATTAAAAGAACTTGTAGACAAGTCTGTTAGAATAAAAATGATTTCAATTAGAATTTAAATATGACAATTTATGATCCCATTGCTAACAATATACCCTATAAGGATGAGCCCTAATCCGCCGATTGGTATCAGCCGCGACAAATATAGGTAATACTGTATTATATTATCTTAAAGCTTAAGTATAACTGAGATATTGCATTCACGTTCAACTATAATCCAATTCGAATGTAATACGTACATATATCATAAGAATTCTTTATTTGGATTTTCGTATAAACCCAGATCACGGAGCAAACAACTCCGAACACGCGTCGAGTAGAGATCCTTTTAAATACTTTATTTTTACGTCTCATTGTCGTTTTCTATGTATCACTTGAAACTCGTATAAACTCCTCGTTGTTTTACATTATCCGACATAATGATAAAAACTTTTAATCTGAATAAAACATTTTGATTACATTCGTCTTAATAAAATATAGGTACCGAGGGATACCCTGTTGTTAATACAGGGTAAGGAAGGGATTGTAAGTAATGCGGACTACCAGTCCCATTACTAACAATATACTCTGTCAAGTCGACTTTCACGTAGGGGGGACCCCTAGAATCATCATCTGGAAAAATCATCATGTCGAATTCCAGGTATATTTATCACGATAGGTCTTACCAGCCTTTTCATTCTCACCTATCAGCCCTCACTAGTGCCCCGACAGCGTATATCATTAGCTCAGGCGGTTACCATTCCAATATCATCCATTAAAAAAAAAACATTATTAATTGATGATAAATTTATCACAATAAACCAACTAAATTGATTTTATCACCCCTCACTGGTACCACGTCAGCGTAAACCAAAATCAGACGGGGTTACCATTCTATTCTATTATTATCCCTGGAAAAAATATAGGTACTTATAAACACGTATATATATAGAGCATGTATAAATTTGTAACTCAAAATTATGTATATTATATGATAGTCATATCAGCTATTCTCCTATACGTAATATAATTAAAGCTTCATCGGGTATTGTTAGCGGAGATTCCACAAACTTCATCAGTATACAGTTG